AAAAAAAAAAGGTCGAAGACCTAATAAAACTAACTTTTAAATAGGAACATGAGAATAGAATTTTCTTCTGTCAATTTTCCTCTCCCTCCTCTTCATCATCGGCTTCTACTAAAAAATCAACTTCAATAAGACTATTTTTTTTTCCTCTTCTTCATTTGACAAACATTCAAAAAGCAATTATTTGTGTTCTCAAAAGAAAAAAAAAGACACAAATAAACGGTAATACAATAAACTGTTCAAAAACACAAATTCCAAAAAAAAAGAATCACATTGCCTTTTCCCGACATTTATCGGTCAATTTTTGTCTATTCCAAAACACTGTACTAAAACATGGCAAAATGTATGATGGCTTTTTTTTTGTGTATCATCAAATATGAAGGTCAATGGCTGTCCAGAAAGACACCTTAATTGATCTTACTAAAGAGGCTTATGTAAACAATGAATAAGCAGAAGCAACTAATGTGTTTGGGTTCAATAGATCGCTAAATACCAGGCAACAAACAGGACAATCACCTGAAAGTTGATTGACCAAGTATCCAATAAAGTCTAATCTAAACAGAAGTTCTGTGTTACAAAAACTGGGCAAAAAAAAAGTGCAACAGTCTTTGCGGAGCAAAAAAAAAAAAAAAAAAAACGTAGCTAAAGCTTGTTTTTCTGTCTGTAATGTATATATTCTACAACAAATTTGAAACAGTTTACTTCATCACCAATACAAATTAGCAAACAGCAATGTGCGTTCCTTATTACCTGTTTATTTAATTTAAAAAAAGAAGTTTTTATCAACCCTAAGAAGCTTTTAAAAGCAAATGCAATAAGAGAAGCTAAATGACTTTTACGGCTAAAAATTTCATACATAAGTAGGATGCTAAAGCCGTTACTGACAACATCTTCTTTGATTTCTCTGCTATTAAAACTAATTCTGCTCCAAAGCATATACAGTAACACTGCGCAATTCCCATAGGTTAGAGTGTAAATTTGACAGACACAATGTTACGATCCTGAAATTATTAACCACTCTGAAATCCTTTCTCTAAATCTTAGAACTTATTTCTTAACAACTGATATATACATAGACTATATCAAAATGACTCTTTGATTTTTACATTTTGTTGACCTCTACTTTTACAACTTTCAAAACAACTAAGGCACCACCAAAGCAGTGGTTTCTTAAAATATACACAGCAAATTTTCAAAAATACTTTATCAATTAACGATATGTCGAGAGATGCAAATAACATATCGGCAATAGTCCTCGTAAATAAATGTATAACCAGAGTTGATTATTTCTTCGACTTTTGGGCTGAAAATGCAAAAATTACAGAAAGAGTTGCATGTCATCAACATCGAAGTTACTGACTAATTGCACTCTTAAAACAGAAAGAAAAATTGTTTTGAAAGACACCATTGTTTAATTAACATAACAGTGAAAGCAGGTGCATATGGAACTTTGATATCATTGCTACCGCAGGTCCTGATTCAGATTCAGGTAACAAAAAACTGCATCAGCAATTCCAAAAAAAATTACTAAGGACTTGTTTTGAGGATACATCATATGATGACTTTAGAGAGAGACAAGTATGGTTAAGCAGTTACGAGATGCGCTTGCGCATGGCAAGGTGGTAAAATCTGCAAAGTTAGTAACAGTGGTTTTTTGAATTTTTTTCGTAATTTTCTACGTAATACTAAAACAACAGCTTCGACAAAGTTATAAAACTTGTATCACTCTGAGCAAACATAACGGCCTTATCTCTTTCACCTAACGATCTCCACACCGACGGCCACTGGGATGGAAAACCATTTTTAAGAAACCTTCTCAAAACCACTCGGGAAGAGAAAATTGATCGCCTCAAAATCTGACTTCTGTACATCTCCTATCGCATAAAGCAGATGTCCGATAATCGGGAAACCCCCCAAAACGGCTCTATTGAAAAGATTGATAATCGCAGAGATGGCCCATCAAAAAAACAAGATTACGGGTGAGTAATTTGTCCAATAGTAGCCTGTCTTTCTGAAGCAATATAAGGGAACAAAAGAAACACCAGAAGAGTTTCTTGGCTTCCAAACAGTCGTCAACTGTTATATGCTGTTAACTACTCTGATGTAAAATTTGGTGCTGTTTTTAAATTCTTCTTAATAAAATCAATTAAAGTTTTTTCCCCGAACAGCCGCTGATCTTCATATATGGACTTGTGCAGAGGATGCGTTGTGTCTTAATTTTGGAAAGTAATAAATATGGAATTCTTAAACAATTAAGAGATACATAGAGTATATGGAAAAGTCTAAAAAGTTGTTAACAGAAAAAAGTATTTAAAACTGGTATAAATCCTTCAGAAAACAACTTATAAGACTTATAAAACGTCTCAATAAGGCTCCACAATGTTTTTTAACTTTTCTAGGCTATTGAGCATATTTTCGAATGTAATTCCTGTTGCTTCGCAGCCTTAATCATTTCGCTTAATCAAGATACAAAGCATCTGCTGAATAGCTTTTGTATCATAGAAACTTTAAAAAATTCAAAGAATCAATTTGCATTCACTCCCAAAGCAAAACCTTGCTATTACTGACCGAAGAAATGAACACCTTCTGTGATTGGAAAGGAAACACAGAGCTAAATCTTTTTGAAATTTGAATAAGAAAACGTCTAACTTGAATGTTCAGCCAATATTGTTGACCCTCAAATCAGTTGTGGACAAGCTGATGAAGATATTGGCGGTAGAATGCAAGGTACAATAAACAGAACATTTTCGATTTGGACAGTAAAGAAGTTTTAGGAGTTTAAACTGATAAGATGTGTCGGGCGGAAAAGTCCGTGTCCTGTAAAAAGTGCCACGATTGTCGTTTAAGATTTGTCAGGGAACACCTTACTTGATCACTTCTTAGTTGAGAGCAGGTAGTTCCTAGTGGTGAGTCTAATTTCAGTCTAAAACAGGATCTTTGTCAGAATCCTTACAAAATTCGGCCTTCATTGTACTGTCGACGCCATTAAATTTGTTGAAGGTAAGGAAGTCGGGGGTATACGATCTGTTTGGTACTGAGCTGTTCTCCGTATAGAAAGATTCTGTAAAGTATTGGACAACGTTCTTTTTCTTCATCCATCCGAACGTCTGTAGTCAGGATGGATACTTTAAAATGACAGTGATCTGATGCAGACTGCAAACGCTAACGAAAGAATGAAATTGAGAGGAAGAATTGAGGGTTGGAGATTGGACCCCCAAAATTCCGATTGTTTAGTGTTACATATTTACCTGTTGCTTGAGCACTTACAATAATGTTGAAAACAATCTCAGTGAAAAGAAAACTGCAAAGTGCCACCTTATCTAAAGATGTGAAAATTTAATTTTAGAAAAGTATTGAGGTGACACAACTTCCGTGTCAAATATCAGGATTGAAGCCTGATTTTTTAGAGGGTTTGGAAATTACAGGACGACAAGTGGAGCAAAGTGGGGGCCTTTTACAATTGCATCTCTTGTCATGGAGGGGGGGAAGTATACTACCATACACTACACCGAATACGTACACCAAACTTATCAAAGCCTCATTTGTCAGTATCTTTTCCAATCTAAGTGCCCCAATTATTTCTGGTTGCTGCATCAAAATCTGATGGCCAGAGTTGCTGTACGGACACTTCGGAATTCGCGAGAGTCGTCCGCAAACTGTAAACGAATTTCCCTTATGAACTTTTCCTTGACAAAAGTCCAACACCGCGTGAAACCACTTTTCGTAAAGAACCACTTCTGTGTAATGATATATACACAAATAATTACGTTGCTCAGTAAATATGTATAAAATTTTTTGCCTTCTTGCCGTATTTTGACGGACTCTGGTGTCTGTTATATTCCAGTTTTTTGGTTACGTATTTACTTGAGGAAGAAGTCGGAACACCGAAATTGTAATGGAATAGTTGTTGAGAGAATCAGACCTGATTTCTTTTTCATTTATTTTTCTCATTTCCGTTCCTCCTTTATTTGAAACGTTAAAGTGTGAAGGTTCTCATACTTGACTTTTGCTTTGGCTAGGTACTGAGTGCTTTTTTCTGAGCGTCCTAGCAGTTTTGTTGTTATATTTGCCTGTATATTAGATCTGTGGTTACGACGTTCTACTCTATCAGTAATTTCCTAGAGAAAGTTGTTTTGAACTAACGAGGGAGAAAAGAGGACTTCCGTGTCCTATACTTTTCTGAGAATGGTTTTCTCAGTCTTCTGTGCGGAGTTTTTAAGCTTCATTCGCTTTTCATACCGTTTGAATGGGTAGTTTTGACCATATTTTTAACGGGTACGGAGTTGAAGTTTTTAGTAGTGATGATTGGATTTATTATACGTTTTCTTGTATCGAATGTGCCATATTATAGTAGTTCAGCGATAGTTCTTGCCTTTAGCTGCTTTGTTCCTCCTTTGAAGCGAGGCCAGACTTATTTAATTAGTTCTACGCACTTTTGCGAAATTTTTCATAAGATAATAAACTGAAACCACTTTACTGCCGCTACACCTCCTCTTTATTAACCTGAATGAATAGAATGGAAATTCTTGTGAAAGAAATCAGAAGATTATTATCCGGTATATGGAACTTATTACCCAGGAGACTGATATTTAATACGTGGAAAACTGAACCGGTCAATAATGCGTAGCAATCTCAAGTTAAATCATTTCCGCTTTAGGCTCCTGCATTTAAATTTAACTCTGACTTTCTGTAGGTTAGTGTTTACCATGTTTCGAAGACTTCTGCAGTGCTCCTGGATCATACACGGCGGCGTTTATTTTAAGATTAACGTTCCGCGATGTTATGCGATAAGAAGTTTTAATATGGCCTCCGGGAGCAAAAGGAATACTGCGTTTTACTTCGTGAGCGTTGGGATAGCAACTGTTGGGCTCAGTTTTGCTTTTGTCCCGGCGTATAGGAAATTTTGTGAGAAAACTGGTTATGTTGGACAAACCAAGGTGAGCGAAGATAGTAATTTGCTGCTTTAAAAAAGCTTTAAAAAACTTAATTTGGTCCGCTTATAACTGTTTGGTGTAAAAATGGCGTTCTAGCTGTTTTTCAGTAATCTGCAGAAGTAGTGCAGCAAAAGAAGAAAAGCACTTTAAGGTTTCGAAAGGTCTTGACAAAGTAGCTAAAATGCAAAGAGTTGAAGATCGCTTGATTCGAGTTATTTTCGACGCTAATGTCCCGCCAACAATGGAATGGCAGTTCAAGCCATCGCAGAGAGAAGTTTATGTGCACCCTGGAGAAACCGCATTAGCTTTTTACGAAGCTTACAATCCAACTGATCGACCAATCATTGGAATCAGCTCTTACAATTTAAATCCCTTTCAGGTGTTTTAAGCCAAATGACTCACTTTTCGTTTCGTTAATGGTCTATCACCATCATATCTTTAGGCCGCATTCTACTTCACTAAAATACAATGCTTTTGCTTTGAAGAACAAATTTTATACCCGAAGGAAAAAGTTGACCTGCCAGTTTTCTTCTATATCGATCCTGAGTACGCTAATGATCCGGAATTGGAGGATATGAATACTGTTATTCTGAGCTATACTTTTTACGAATCTTCGAAAGGTATTTTTGTGTTTGGTTTGCGTTGCATAGTAAAAAAATTCCTTGTTTATTTGCTTTAGATCTGGTATTACCAAGTCCGTTTGAACCTCCTGGAGAGAAAAAAGATGACTCCAGTGGAAAGGACCCTAAGGAAAGACGAGGCATAATAATGAACAAAACAGTAGAATGACGAGCATCTTCATTTAAAGTCGCAGTTTGAAATATGAAATACTGTAGGTGACTTTGCAGTGTGTCGTAGTCTTTTACAGGAAGATGATAGCGTATCAACTTATTTTTCAACGACTGATAGCTTCTTATTTTCAAGGTTCTTCAGTTTGAATTAGTGTTTTACTCAACGCGGATGCGTGCCTTGATCTCCTAAATATTTTGTTATAGTCTTGTTCAGAACTGCTTTGATGTGATGCGGGTTTAAAGGACTGCCTTGCTGCAAAAACACTTACCAAATTTCCAGTACTTTGATAGATTTTTGGGCTCTTTTTTACTTGACTATATACGGTATGTTCACCTCCGTTTGCTGATTCTATGGTATCGCAGTTCTCTCCTTCTTCCAGTAGTATATCCTTGGAGTCCGAATTAAAGCCTTTATTCAATGCCGACTTCAACTTAGGTTTTAGGTAGGATTCGTACGAAGGCTCATACAGTTCGCAAAATGAGACTTAACAAAAGCAAACGGAAGTGTTTACAAGGTAATGACAATTAACGATTACAGAGATGTGCAAGAGTAAAGTATGCTTGATAAACATGCAACAGAATGTTGACTGTTACGATCTGCAACAATGTTAAAAGCTTCTTCAGTTAATTCGTAACTGTTTATATACTGCGGTTGTCAAGAAATGTCATAGTTCTAGAGGGCGATAAACCACTTAAGACTTCCAAAAAGCTGTGCTGCAGTTACGGCTTAAAATATGTAAACTAAATGTTATTGCAATTGCTTTGTTGGAGAATTAACCTTTCTCGTAGAGAAACCATATAGGATGTTATCGACTACTGCTTTCATTGACTTTCTTGCTAGTAAAATTTTCAACTTGAGGAGTCATTTGAGTTCTTTCGCGGCACTCGCTTCTTAGAGCTACTTAAATTCGCAAAAAATTGTTTTAGTTGCACGGACAAGTAGCACAAAACACCTGATACTCATCGCCACTTTGCATCCGTGATGAATTGCTTTAACTTCAGTACGACCATTTGGATTATAGACAGGATGAAGCCTGTAGCCTCGTTTTCTTCTACCTTGAGAAGATTGCTGTCTTTTTTTCGGATTCTGTAATAAAGGACTTGCTCACATGAGGCCTCATCACATTTGGTCAGTCAACCTCCCAGTTACTGTTATGCTTGTCGCCCAATATTGAGTAATCTGATGAACAACGACAAATCAGCTGCTCCTCTCCACCCATTGTGCATGCCTCTTTAACAATTTCAGTTAACGTGTCTTTCTAGACAACCAGTGACCACAATTTGTGAAGAAAAACCCTGTGAACGAGGCAGAAAAACAACATTACTTAGCCAGCGCACCGTTCAAAAGGTAATTTGTGTTGTTCCCCCTATGGAACTGCCTCCAAAAATCCCAGAGCACAAAGAAGAAATATCTGTCGATTATAACAGTTTGTGTATCGAGTTAACCAGAGAGTTAAAAAGATTTACTTCCAAAGGAAATGATGCCTTTACTTCTTGACTAGAACAATTACTTATGTAGGAGTAACGTTTAGTGATGACTCAGTTACCTATCGGCATTACTGTTTCACTAGCGAATAACATTTGCAACACAAACATCTCTAAAAAGTGTAACGAAGCAGTCAAGATTACACCTCGTTCGGGTAGACACAGTCATTACAGAAAGCCATGCCTGTTTATTAAAGTATGAATAAGTTGCAGGCCAGTATTACAGAAAATGCGAGTCACAAACACGTTTTGAAACGAAGAAGAATACTGCAAAATTAATATTTAATGTCCAAGGAGCAACTTATAAACACATCTCAGTCAGGGCGAAAACACAAGTATCTTCCTGCAGTCTTTACTTAATGAATAGAGTAAATGATTCTACATAACTGTGATCATGCCTTGGGAACTGCAACTTTTGAAGATGAGGTAATTTTAAAACTTGGAAAAAAACACTGGAAGATGAATTTCTAACTCTGACTATCCACAAACCATTCCCCAATTCAAAACAGTGGTGTAAATTACTGGCAAAAAATAGATTACTTTTGCACTGAAGGGGAAAAAAACTATTCAGCAATTTGTTTCACCACCCTGAGACAAATCTTCCCGATTAGAAGTCAAATCTGTTATATGTTGTTGTTCAACGCGAGATTCAGCATCATGTGAATTTTGTTCATTACTTGATGTGTAAGGAGGAGGACTCCCACCGGCTCTTGATGAAGGCGGCTGCGTTGGGCAAGAAACTATAGCCTAAAATGGCAATTCATCGAAAGAAAAAGCACAAATTTATGGTTTAAATTTCTGGGCAACAATAATGAATAGTGTTTTGCAAGCCGTTCGACTAGCTAACTTGACGCATCGTTAAAAGTGGCGTTTGCCAGCAAATTCTTTAAAGAAATAATCGGAGAAGGAAAAGTGTTTTGCTAAAGCGCTCCCTTGAAATATATTACGGGCAACTGGTGACTGTTGAGCTCGCACATGGAGAATCAGCAGTTTTATCAGAACCCTTGAAATTCTATTTTGGACACTCTTTTGCGTACAACAATATTTTTTAATCTCTTCAACTCTGTTTCCCATCATTTCCAACACCATTTCCAACAAAATTACCTAGGTGCCTCTTTGAACGATGCTCAAAAGACTCCAACTCTTGTACACTGTTAATAATGGGAGCTTCCGGGAATTGGAAAATTAGAAATTAATTTATTAAGACCTAAAAATAAAAAAATTGAGTACTCTACCAAGAAGAATCTACTTGTCATACTTGTTCATATGGAGGAGGTGGATCCAAATACTTTTGCCAGTGCTCCCCAACAGCTGCAAGAACTCTTGGATCCATTCTTGAAATCATTTCCACACATTGCTCCACTGTAGAGCCTCGACAGCCCTGAATTAAGACTTTGAAGTTGTCTTTCATTAAATAAAATCTTTATAATGACTGCTGTGGAAACGTTAAAAAACACAGCTATTTTACACAAAGATTACTTTGAAAAGCATACCCATAACTACTTAATTACAAGGAAAGTTTAATAGGAGTCATTTTATGAGAAATATTACTAACCAACTTTGTATCAAAAATACAAATCTGTTGTTATTTCCCCATTCTACTCGAAAATTTCAATGTTTGCATCAAAAATAAATTACATTCCAGAAAATTAGATCGGCTAGAGCACTACACTAAGCTTTTTTAAAATCAACCATATTTGAGGAAAACCAATTTTCATGAAAATTAAAAAGATTACTTCAATCCTTTCATTTTGGAAACGATGGTCAAGCGAAGCTCCAGACGGGACCTCCAACCCTAGAAGAAATTGCAGAAAACGAAAGTATGTTCCTATGGAAATTCTTCTTAATGCATCTTCTTCAACTTCTGAAAATTTACCTCCAAAAAAATGTGCCGTCCTTTTTTTCAAGACAATCTACTTTTTGAATTTAGTAATAGAATATCTTTGGCATTACAACGAGAAAAATGAAAAGTGAGACCTGCCTACTAATAAGTTTTAAAAATAAGCGGACCATACGTCTTTCTATCCAAGTGGGAGAGATGATCATATAACAAAGCACTAATAACCCGAATATGAACAATGCTGCAGAAGCAATGTAGAATGTCACCGTGTATTTCTTAAATGATTAAAATATTTGAAATAACTTTAAGCTCATCCAACAAAAAATTAGCGGATACCCGGAAAACTCCCCATAAGGACAAAAACTACTTTTAAAATAGAATAATAACTTCTTCTACGTATTAATGCATTTAAAAATGAATAAAAAAAGGTTCTTTTTTAAAACATCATTAAGTATAAAGCTAAGTAAAAGAAACAACCTCACAAAAACGACCGGTCCGAAACATTGGGAAGCATAAGCAAGATCCGTTCTCAGGTTTACCGCCAAACTCACAATTAATCAACTCACAAAAAGTACCTTCAATATGCGGATCTGAACACCTGAAACCGAAAAGTAATTAGCTGCAAAGTTTCACTTAACTTAAACAAACAATATCAAACTGAGGAAGAATGAACTTTTCAAAGTTGTGTTACCACTGCCAAACCTGCTGCCACCATCCCTCCTCCCCGCTATTTAGGAAATTTTTTCATGACGCGAGGGATATTACAAAAACATCTGACCCGAGAAAAGTTGAAGGCGTTCACAAATGGCAATGTTCATAACACTGCTCGTTTTAATCCACGCATATAATAATGAAGTAAATAAAAACCTGCAAATGCTTTTACCGGTAACATCCTTGATTCTTAATCCATAGAGGCACTTCTTGAGGTCGCATAATGGACCTTCGTAGTATCTCGGACATATACAAATTTCTAAATTGATTATTATAGTAGCTCTCTTCAATACAATAAGAATAAGTTTTTCAAGCGGTTTTTGTAAGTGTAAAAGAGAAACAGAAACTTCGTCTTCGATTCCAGATTCCACCATTCTGACAATAAAGTAATTCGTTTGGAGGAGTAGTAGGAAAATCGTGATCTGAATTACACTTTTTTCAAATTTTT